TAATATTCAAATATCAGGATTTGTCCTCAGGCTAATAGATGAATTTGCATTCACGTTTATTTTCAGGGCTTTAAAGCTTTGTGAATTTCAATTGGGTAATTAGTAAACTATATTCCTGTGAAATAGGTTCTCATTTAAATCAGAAAACTGTAGCCGAAACACTTTATGATGAAACCACACTTTTAAATTCCCAATTTCCACTAGAAGCAACCATGTGGTTGGGGGGGGGGGGGGGGGGGGGGGGTTAAAAGACCTTTGCTAAACGAGCTAAAATTGAGATTACATAGTAAGTATTCATTTTTAAAATTTGTTACTAAGAGCGGGTATAAAAACGCCTTTTTACTTTTGGTCCTTAAGCACTCCATTTAATATATTTCTTAAAGTTCCAAATTTCAGAGCTTTTCCCCTCAACACCCCCCCCCCCAATTCGCATGTCATTTGACCACTTTGCTGTTTTCTAAATTCAAGATCTTCTCTAAAATTAATGATGATTTATCTTTGAAAATAGGATTATTTGTGGATTATCGCATATATATATATGAGTTTATAGTTGGTCATTCAAATTACGCTACGATATATTTTATTGATGATCGAAGTAAGATATCGAGTTATTATCAACATTTATGGCCTGAGCTGTCCAGACATCCATAATCCTCGAAACTTTTAAGCGACTTGCCAACTGCTCCTACCTACCTAGCTGATTTTTTATGTTAATGCTAATTTGGGAGTTTATAAATGAGATTGAAAGTGAGTTTACCTTGAAAGTAAATATGAAAGGGCGTTAAATATCTATCCTTGGAAAAGTTTTTTATATCGTTAAAAAGTCGGCTGAGTGTACAAATATTTATTTATATCAAATGGCAACCTTTATGATACCTATCATAGGGGTGTGCGATAGACTTACCTCTACCTGGTGCACCCTGGGCAACGTATACACATACGGTAAATAAAGTCTATTAACTGGCAATTGACTTCTGACTTCAAACTACCATAACCAGATTGTATGCCATGCTCGACCACTTCCACAGCACTCACCTTTCCCTTATGTCTGTCTCTTTTACATCTGCGAATCACTCTTCTGTCTACCATCTCGAATTTTTCCCCTTTGATGTTTCTCCCCTCTGTGAAGCCCGAAGTCAGCTCCAGGGCCATTGATAACTATCAAAACGCCTGCCGTTTGAAATAAATAAATAAATTATACTTATCATTAGCCATTTAATTGACTTCGGGCTTCACAGAGGGGAGGAATATCATGATCAAAAAAGTTGAGAGGGGAGGGTTACAGAAGAGTTATTCACAGATGTAGAAGAGACAAACACAGAGGTGGAGAAGAAGGTAAGGTGAGTACTGTGAAAGTGGTGGAATATGACATACAGTGGGGTCATGGTAGTTAGAAGTCAGAAGTCAACTGTCAGTTTTTAGGCTTTTTCGTTGTATGTGAATACGTTGCCCAGAGTGTACCACGTGGTGGTAAGTCTATTGCACACCCCGAGTGTGCAAACATGAGTCATGTTATTATGTTTATGTTTTGAACTGAACTGTGATGAGTTTCGCAATACCAAAGAAATAATGATACGCACTATCCAAAGTTAGGAAAAGCCAAAATTTGTCAAAGGTGTGGAAGCCTTGTTATCACAAAAACCAACTTACTGGATACACCAGGAATAAATCTGTCGTACAACCGATCTACATGCAGCAAAAAGAAGAGAAAATTTCATCGTGATCATGACCTTCAGAACTAATTATGACAAATCAACGGTTTAAAAGAATGTTAAAATGTAGAGAAGGCAGCTCGAAGGCCACAAAAGGATCTCTCTCTTCAATTAACCAATTCTTGCAAATTATTTATTTCCTTGTTAAACAACTTAAATTCTTGCCATTGAATAACCACTCTTGGGTAGTAAAAGGTACAAATATACTGAAATTACGTGATATTTTTACTATATATTATTAGATGAGGCAAGGCTAACTGCATTCTCTGCGTCTTTCGCAAAAACAAGCAACCATTGTAATTACTGTGCACTTTAAATGAACTTCAAAAGGAGACGCTATTACAGCACAGCCAATCAGAGATCAGAGCAAAGACCTGAGAAAACTTCTGAGGAAATCGAAGCATTCTATTGAGGCATAAACAATCTAGTTCTTTTACAATGAAATAACTTTTGCTAATATCAAAAGCACGAAATGTAAAATGGGAGTCAGCTTGACTTGCATACAGTAGACCAAATGACATTCCTCAAGTCATGCAGACTAAAGTTGGCCAAACTGTCATTATTTTCGAATGTGTGTTCCTACTGTCTGCTAAACCTGCATTGTTTTAGCTCATTTTTAGTTCTCATTGATTGAGCACATTTTAAGGTCAGCTATTTATTACTACATTACTCTGAAATATACTTCATACTGAAAGTATGCAAATGTGCCCAAACGCCTAGCAATGTGAATAGAAAACACTATCTTCTCCAATTTTCCCACACCTTCATTGCGTATAACAGATACTCCAAGTTGAATTCATTCGGTCTTTTACGCAAATTAAATAAAATTGGTATTCTCCGGTGGCACAGCGAATAACTTACTCATCTGCGAGATCAAGCCCAATGGAGCACTGAAAAAAGGGGAGACTAGTCAACTAAATTGATTCGATTGCACTTAAAGCGGGTATTCAGTAGGAAATGTTTCCCCCCCCCCTGCACAAAAGTTGCATTGATAACTCTATTCAACAGGAATATTAATGTGAAATAAATATTATATAACAAAATTATATTGACATTAATGAAAATAGTGCCATTTCGTTATCGACTTTCGATGCCTTATCTACTCTATTTTATCGGTTCTCTTTAGATCGTTATCCACAGTAATTAAAACGTAACATTTTTAATCGTGACAATCAATTGAGATCATTATACAAAAAAGTTCAGAAATATAAAAACGAATGGACTAGAATGACACTGAAGCCAATGTCAAAGTTTCAGAGTCCTAATTCATTTGATTTTTCGACTCGGTTGCCAATATTTACTGAATGGATAGTCTCTCTGAAACATCTTTATCTATGACTCCCAGCACTTTAAAACCATGGCTAACCTCTTCTAGAAAATTATTTTTCCAATAGTTGGGAAGACAAAACAAACTCACATGATATTCAGGAGCCTACGGTCCTGACAAATTTAAAAATTGATGACTACCTATTCTCGGTTCGAAGAGATTTATATTGCTCTTTTTCAAAGCACCCCCCTCCCCCCACGCGCTCACTGCTCTCTTCCGCTAACTGATTGTATAAATTCGTTTCCATGTAATGGATTTAATTTTAAGAAATAATTTTTCAAAATTTAGAGCTAATGAGAGCCATTTTCGAAATTTCGCAAGATAATTTCCTTCCTTTCATGAACAAGTGCTTTAAAGAGAAAATCGTTATATAAGAAATAAAAATTAATATTTTGCTAAATTTAATATAATAATGAGAAAAATCGCCTTTCCTAACTGTAGTGATCGAATTTGGATATAAGTAGGTAATGCTACATTTAAAGGGAATCATAAAAGTTAACTCCAAAATAAAATTAAAGTGTAACATCCGTTCTGTTCTAATGATTGTCAGAAAACTTACAACAGAGTAGTAAACTTACTACTTCATCATTAAGGTGAGGATTTGTAAGTTGTATTGAGTTTCATAACTCAGAGCCGTTTAGCGAGATCGGCTGTGATTAAAAGCGTTTTACCTGTTTTCTTTATCCAAACACAGCCTATCCTGCTACCTTATTGACCTCATAAAGAAAAATGTCAAACCAAGGTATCATAAGCGCCTTTGATTTGACGTACGGGTTTAATCTTAACAATTAACAACGACCTAACCATCAAGAGTGTAAGTTTTCAAGATATCAGGTTTTGAGATGGAACGCAAAGATCTTTATTTACAAGGACTAAATTTATGGAGCGCTAAACTTTGACAATAATATTGTCATAATATATTATTATTGGCGCATGAGTATTTGCCTTTTTATAATAATTCGTATAGTTATTCCATACCACATTCATGGTAATGAAACGTTGCGACCGATGATAAATAGGAATAATCACAATTCAGCAAACATTTACAGTTTTTAAATCCTGCGTGCAATGAAACACTAGGGATAAATCCCATATTATCATTATCGTACGATAACGACTATTTATGATGAGCGGATTCAAATTTAGTCTGATAATTAATTTCATCTCAGCATTTAATTAGACTCGAGAAATTAAACCAGATTATTGTATAAAATGCAAATAATGAATAACAACGTTATAATTTCTAAAGTAATTAACCCGTTAATCATTTGTCTCATCATTCATTACAGTTTTAAAACAATTTCTACCTGATTACTTTCACATTTATTGCCTTTTAAATAGTTCAATATCGGGGTCTTGAGTACGTCCGCCCAACCTTCTCATTTCCATTTTAATATTTCTGGTTCCATTGTATCCTCAAAACCCATTATTGACTTGACATCAAAAATAGAATCCGCCTCTATTAAGGGACAGTGCCATTTGAGCTCAGATTATCAATCAAACTATTAGTTTGTCTTAAAAATTCCCAAAAGTTCTTGCAGTTAAGTACACCGGTTATCCTGGTTTGCAGAAAGCAAGCATTCTAGGAAAATGACATTGATCTTGCTTCAGAATTAAATATTGATAAATTTTGGATGATTGCATATACTGCACGATGTTTTTTGAAATAAGTGCTTAAGTAAAAAGCAATTGATAAATTTGTTTCTACTTCGAATTTAATTAACTAAAAGGAATTATAACACGAGCAACCCCTTTTAAACTATTTTGAGCTTACTTAAAAACTCATCTTATTCATTACTTACGGTTGTGACAGAATCAAAATAAAATCAGCATCTGCAACTCGACTCCAAAATTTAACATTGATTATGTTCTTATACGCTTTATAATTCTGGATATAGTTTAAATACACTACACCCTACATTGAGCTCTCCGATTATAGATTAACGCGAAATTTGTACGTTATGGGTATTCATCAGTTAAGTAAGGTTATTGGTGATCACGCTCCCAAGGCTATTAAAAATGGGGAAATAAAAGCATATTTTGGTCGAAAAGTAGCTATTGATGCTTCCATGTCTCTATATCAATTCTTGGTTGCCGTCCGTAGCGAGGGCAATAATCTGACTAACGAAGCAGGAGAATCCACCAGGTATGCTTTTTAATTTTGTTAAACATTTTCTTATTCTGGTAGCCATCTTATGGGTATGTTCTACCGAACAATTCGGATGCTCGAAAATGGTCTAAAACCGGTGTACGTGTTTGAAGGAAAACCACCGGATCTCAAATCTGGCGAGTTGGCCAAACGTACAGAACGCCGTGAAGAGAACACCAAACAGTTGAACAAAGCTGAAGAACTTGGGGACTCAGAGGCTATTGACAAATACTCTCGACGTCTTGTTAAGGTCACTCCTCAACACAATGAGGATTGTAAGAATCTCTTACGTCTAATGGGTATACCAGTTGTGGAGGTGAGATATATGGCGAATAATTTAAATCTTTAGGCTCCTGGTGAAGCGGAAGCTCAATGCGCAGTTCTAGCAAAGTCGGGAAAGGTTTACGCGGTGGGTACAGAGGATATGGATGCTTTGTGTTTCGGCGCTCCTGTTTTACTTCGTCATCTCACTTTTAGCGAAGCTAGGTATGTCTTCATTTTCCTAACCATTTAAATTTTATTTCAGAAAGTTACCAATTCAGGAATTTAATCTGCAAACAGTCCTTTCCTCAATGAATTTGACAATGGAACAGTTTGTCGATCTCTGTATCATGCTTGGATGTGATTACTGTGAAACTATCAAGGGTATCGGTCCTAAGAAATCCGTAGAACTCATTCAACGCTATAAATCAATTGATGCTGTACTTGAGAATCTTGATAAAAAGAAATATACAACTCCTGAGGGATGGATCTATAAACAAGCAGCTCAGCTTTTCACTGAACCTGAAGTCATAGATCCTGAAACCATAGAGGTAAGATTCCTTGTTTTATATTTGTTTTTTTAGCTTAAATGGACGGAGCCTGATGAGGATGGTATAGTGGAGTTTATGTGCTCCAAAAATGGTTTCAAGTAAGAGCATTCTTTCTTTAATCTGATTTTTCTTCAGTGAGGAGAGAATAAGGAACGGTGTGAAGAAGATTCAGAAATCTCGGACGGTTTCTACTCAAGGTCGTATTGATAATTTCTTCACCATCAAACCTACCCCTCCATCAGTTAAGGTGTGTCACTTTTTTGTTGTCATGTGTAACCCAGGAATTGAAAATGTTTTTGAACAATTGGGGGTTAGGACCTTGCTATAAAGATAGTCGATTCCCCGTTTCACTTAGGTGTGTTAGATGTTCGCTATACTTCTATCGTAATTCAAACTGTTCGTTTTCATCGACAGCCGCTTTTGTTGATGAAAATCTGAATGAGGTCGTCGAATTATCGTTGTGGGCTACTTTTCTATTGCTTGCCAAAGTAATCGGGAATTACAAAAAATGTTTAACGACTTTGAGTGGGTTTGAATCGTTGGATATAGGAGTGCGTGTAATCCAAATGATGAGGAGTGTCTATCCGACCTTAAGCACTATCTGAACTTGTTAAACACTCATCAGTATGGATGAAATGAGCTATTCCAGTTCTTCAGTAGCTATTTTCTTGTTGGTAATCAAACGCTGTCGCGCCTTATATCATCTTAAAGAGTTTATTATTAGAATTTTAAAGTATCAAACCCTCTAATAAACTACTTTAACCTGCTTTCTCTGGAGACAAAAATGTTCAAAACTGATTATTGTTGTTCACATTGATGCAAAGATCCCCAAGAACTGTCGTGTAAAACCTAAGACTGTAGATATTTATACTCGAGTTTCAAGCATTTTAAGTTGTTGGTGCACTGTATTTTATGAAGTAATAGCTATTCAATTCGTATTCTCTTCACTTTATCCCCAACAATTGTACTTTATTTTCTTTCTTGTAGGCGAAGGAGACCACCAATGGTAAAAGACCATCAATGACACCTGCTAAAAAACCTAATCCAAAAAGGAGAAAGTGATAATATTGGGAGAGACTTTTATGGTGTTTTTTCACTTGGGATTAAGTCCTGTTTATGTGCATTTGTGTCGTTAAGAACGTAATTCCAACTGTCATTTGTATTTATATAACTAAATGTAAAAGAACTATTTTTATACAATTCACTAAGATTTGCCTTTTGCTCAATGTTTTTTAATGGGAATCTATGTGATGGACTAATGTCAAATTCCGTATAAGTTCCCTGTGGGTTTATCATGGGGTTCGATGCAGCGATCGCGAATACCATAGGTAATTTCGAATTCAAGAATTAGGAGTAATTGAAATGTTACTTGGCCCCCTGAATTCACTTTGAGCTGTCGCTGCTTGTTCAACTATCTCGTCAATGCTATTTACGTTGTAGGCCGTTGAATATCATTTAGGATGACTGTGCCTTATCAACCATTGGGAGAGGAAAGTGAATTTAAACGTAAAAAAACCACCACAAATAAGCGTTGTATATCTTTGACAAACGTTCGCCGCAACTCAAGGAGCGGAACCGGAAGTCTGAAGAGCGTAATATCTTGACGCTTTCTCAGGGCCTTAATCGACCCCGTGATCATTTAACCAGGTTTAAGCAAATTTTTATCTCATGGTTGAACACTCGTCTAAGTTGCATTTTACCACCCACTTGAGGATTATTCGGTTTTACTGGTCTCTTCCACCGCTACTTAAAAGCACATGATACAAATGTATCATCACCCTTCATTCTTGCTCTCAAGATGTTATGACACAAAGTCACTTGGTCTGCTCACAGATTTTAGCACTTGATGTCAGCGGTGGTCCTCGGTCTTAGTCATTAGCCTCACATGACTACAAAAGGGGCAAATACGTGAGATTAGTGATATCAATTTTCCTATCTCAGGGAATGAAGTGCTTGTGTAAGCTACATTCAACTTCAAGCGTACGTACGACATTAAGCAATTACTCACGCCAGGGATAGAGGCCCAACCCTGACACTCCTTTTCACCACACTACGGTCAGATCCCCTCCACAAATCCTTCCGCCCTGTTTTGGCAGTTTTCTCTTCATTAAGTCCAAATAAAATACCATCCTTATAAGACACTTCGTCATAACCTTCGTTTAGCGACTCCCAGCATTTAACCTGTAACATGCCTTTTTGGGCTTAGTGCGATGCTCGCAATCTTCGGAAGTCTAGATCGATTGGGAGGACACCACCCTTGCAGTTTGTCTGAGGCTTGTTGATATAAGCTAGCATACTGTTGTTAATTGGTATTTAGCTATGAGTTGGTAAAGACCTAGCTGTGGAGAGCAACCTGTGCACCGAGAGGACGGTCGATAACCTGCAGAGGGCAAGAGCCCGATAACCACTTCTGCAAACCCACTGAGCAGAGACGCCAAATATTAGACTGTGACGAATCTCTGGCTTCTATTCTTAGATACTACTACAGACACTATAACAAGACATTGTGATATAGCCCAGAAAACAAATAAAGTCACTTTCTAGGCATATATTTGACACATTGATTTAAAATCAATTATCACACAGGGGGAGAGTATTTTGATATTCACCGAGGAGTGCGCTTTAACGTCCCTTCCCGCCCTTTCCTTTATTCTTGTACTTATTTTTGGAAGATTTGGGAGGTCTCACTTTCACCACCTCCTCCTCATCATTTTCATCCTCCTGGTATTCACCATCACCGCCGGACCTCTCTTCAGCTTCTTCCTCATCTTCCTCTTCTTCGGTTTCAGTTTCATCTGCTGAAACCTCCCGATTCGATTCCAACAAATCCTCCATTGTATTCTGTAAGTCCATTTCATCCTTATCCGATACCACTCGAGGCTAGAAAAAGAAAATGCGTAAACCGGTAACACTGGCAAGCACGTTGGTACTGGTGAATTGGAAGTAGGCTAAGACAACAACAATGCTCAAATGTAGTGTTTTAATGAACCATAAATGTGAGAACATGGTGGTAATTACACATTCAGATAACTGTTAAGGATGGGGACACCTACTCCGGCCCCCNCCGGCCCCCCCCCCCCACCCTCCTAATAAGTGTTCAGCCGTTGACTAATTCCTATCATATTGTAGTGAAGTATGCAAAGACTTTGAATAACTATGTAATAGTCGATTTTCCTCTGTCGTACTTGGTATAAGCTATCAAGCTAATCACTGCTGCATAAATGGATATAAGATGGGCTAACAAATGTAGTTCGAGTAGAGCACTGCTTCCTACACGTTTCAAGAACAAAAATTGATTGATGCAAGAACTCTCCCACAAAATAGAGACCCGCAGACTTTGCAATGCTCCCCNTCCCCCCCCCCCCCCCCCCCCCCCCGAGTGGTTTAAGAAGCTCCAACGGAATGTTTGTGTTCGAATCCAAGTTCAAAAAACGACATTCTATATGCCCTTTACTAAATCCATTTGTATACGCTTTTAAGGAGTTTACAGTATCACGGAAAGCAATATAAATTACAAATTATTGACTGTTTGAAAAAAAACAGAAAAGAACTCCCCCAGCAAACAAATAAAGTACCTACAAGCACGTAATGAGGTAAAAATTTCAATAGTGCTATTTAACATAACTGTCAATTAAAAGTACTCTATGTTAATTGCAGTGAACAGATTATTACCATTCATTGTCAGCAATGGCTAAGAAATCAATACTATTTTGAATCCCCGACAGGATCAAAACCAAAAGCAATTAGAGGTATCTAGAGAGAAACAAGTCAAATACAGGGTTTGAATTCGAAAACTTTCCCTTAATTTTCATTACGTATGCAATAATTCCGGAACTTCTGTAAATTCCTATAGGACACTGTGCCGGTTGTGAAAAACCCATAGTACCAAGACGATTTGCCGCCTTAATTGCAATTGAAGGGTTTATTCAATTTGGATACCAAAAAAACAAATCACACATTCTTTCCCACCTAACACTGTAAGGCGCAATGAGTGCTCAAATGCCAGGAAATCGAAAACTCCAAACGAGTAGAACCAGCAACTTAGTGCGGTTAGTCAGAAAATAAAGACTCCAACGTTCAAAAATATCATAACCAATTGATTTAATCGTGGTCTAAATAGAAATCTGACCCTACAAAATAATATATGGGGGAAACACATTATTAGAATTCAAAAATTGGTGGCAAATATACATGATGAGCGTGAGGACTCAGCCCGTGTACGAAACCACAATTTAGGTCAGCAAGCATGTTGCTACTGGATGGTCATGGGTTTGACCAAAGTAACAACTCCATTAGCCCAAAATGGACTAGCAATAGGGAAGTGGGTACATAGATGTAATCAATAGAACCCTTACTACTACTGTAGGAGGAGTAAGTCCTTATAGAAAATCAGTTGCCTCTCTACACTATTGCAGCTTTAAATGGCTCGGGATCTATCATATCCTTTCATTATGCCTTTTGTCTGTAAGATGGTCAACGATATATACCACAAATGTTAGGATTGAAAACGGCAAAAATTAATGCAATACAAAATAACTACTTTCTACCATAATTCACAAGGCAATACCCGGATTTGGATTCTTAACAGAGGCTAGAGAATAATCATATCAAACCAACTAAGAGGGGTTATGAAAACGAATTTAATGACAATTTAGGGTAAAACTGGAATTTAATTAATACAGAAAGCATTTTTATATTGAACAAAACGACTAGAAGAAAACTAAATATTGAAACAAACCCAACTTCAACCGGGAACGCTATAATCAATGAACTGGTACAAATTGAAATGACCCCAAAGTAGTCTGCAACGCACAACTACTGAATTAAATTACCTAGGTTTACAGTTAGAAATTCATGCTGATAAATTTCGGAGATATTCAGGTTATAGTGTTCAAGCAAAATGCATGTTTTCAGTCGAAAATTATCAAAACATGGTACTATTGGGAAGATTGAGAATAGTACTAAATAACAAGGTTTAAGGAAAGATAGCCTCTACAGTCAAGGACAACACAACAATTAGCCGCCAATTTTAAGATGAATTAAATGACCATCAATTGTTCTAAAACATGCAGATAATTCAATACGATAGAAAATAAGACATAAATTTGAAGACGATACATGCGGTTAAATGTATCTCGCTTTCCTACACAATCATATGATCGGGCTAGTATTTGCTGTTTCTGCGTAGTTACACGTGCGATCAATTAGAAAACATAATGTGCGAACAAGCTTGAGGTATGGAAGCAGAGAAAACTAAAACACCAAAGAAAAATGGCAAATAAATATCAAAACTCACCTTAACTTTTAGTTTGAAGAAACCATCCTGTTCATTGATCGATTTCTCAATCGCTTCGATCGCCAATTCCATTCTCGCGATACCCTCAGCAATATCAAGAGTTTGAGTTGTCATCACATACTCAGGAGGAGCAATCAAGTTAATCTAAAATAGGACTTATAGAACAATAGGCCGAAAGCACTTGCAGAGGTAGTATAACAATAAAACTTACATTGAAGGCAAACTTCTCAGTACTGAAATCCAAGCCAACTTTAAGGGCACGCCTTACAGCATCAATACCTTCGTAGGCAAAGCAGGACACTTCAAAATCAGCACGAATTTTCGCAGCAACGGGCATTAGCTTATGACGAATATCTTGCAAAAGCATTTCCTTAGTAACATCATCAATATCGCACTCATCCAAAACTGCAGGATCACTAAAGAAGACGCAACGCACCCGTATTAAAATGAAATATAAAGTGAACTGGAGAAGAAAAAAAGTATTCGCTCACTGAACAGCCCGCTTAAATGCCTCATGAGAACCGCCTTGATTTGCATACTTTCTATCAAAGTACCAAACAGTTTTCGCGCATAAATCTTCGAATTGACTATTTTCTTTGTAACCCAGCTTTTCCGCTACATGCCGGACAATTTGATTGATCTAAAGGAATTAAATATATGAAATGGACAAAACTTACGGCTTTCGCCTTGGCAAATCGACTGTAGCAAGTCTTTATTTCCTCAAAAGGTACCTGCCTCTTAGAAAGATCAATGTAGCCTTTATCTGGATCAACACGAATAACGATAACAATATCACTGCGACCGACACGAACGAGTTTATTAATAGATCGAATACGCCTCCTCGATAATTCACTATGGAGGATCATTCCGAGAGCATCATTATATTCCGGTAGATTAACGTAGCTACCGCTGTTGGTAATACTTTTGACAACTGCAACAACAACTTCACTTTCCCTCGGGAATTCATTCTCGTAGAACCGGCACGATAGAGCCATCCGTTCGATTTGTAAAAAACGCGCAAATGTAAGTTAACATAAAGTCTTATCAACAAGTGCCAATGCAAAATAGTTATTCCATTAAATATCAAAATATTTTATATCATGCTCTTTATATATTTTTAAATTAACTGTATATTGAAAAATAACGAAACGTGGATTTTTATTTCAGCGAAATTCTAAATATCTAATGTCTAAATCCACCCCTTTGCCGCAAATAACTGTTTCGTCAAATTCGTCATTATGATTGACTTGTTTTTGTGAAGGCCATGTTATTAGCTACCCAGTAGAATAATCTACCCCCGTGTTCAAACTGGATCTTGACCATGAAATTTAGCAATAAAGTTATCCACGAGCAAATTAACAGATTATAAACTCCCCTCCTTCCTTCAAGCCTTAACTTTGGCGCGCATAGTAAACAGCCTAGGAACCGCATCTATAGGCAAATATGAACAGGAGTGCAAACATTGACTTTCCATAATCAAAAAAGCAAATAATACAACAGCACTATAATATACAGAGGGGAACAACTATTTTAGTGAAGGATATGCGTTCAGGGAACTTCGTTCATCTACATTGCAACACCACTGGAATGGAGGGAGATGATTAGATGATTCCTTTTTCCACATTCCACTGCTAAACTGTACATAAAATTTTAGAAGTATCAATTGCGAAGAAATGGACGACCAAGCTTAGCAAGGACGTAGGCTCCAATTAACAGAAGAATTAAGAGATCACGGCGTTGTTGTCGGGCCATGGTAGTTTCTAAGGCTGCTACACGAGAAACCAACTCCTGCATTCGCGTCTCCATACCTTCCAAATCCTGGTCGCATACTGCTGGCTTGGAGTGTCCCTCACCATTAGCATCAACATCCACTAATGTTCTATCGTCATCCATGGTAGCATTTGGACTAACGTAGTGACGCCCACTGAAAGAGAAAATTATACACTACTATTAATGAGAGCAAGTAGAGGTATAGAGGTAGAGAGAAATCATAGCAAAATGCGTTCATAATTATTAATGGACGTAGTAAAATGGAAATAAGATAGGATACTTTTCAAACAATCAATGGAGTCCTCTATAAAGATGGGCATAATTCGATTTCCTATTAGCAATTATAAACCAAAAGTCGTAAATTTAAAAAAAGGAGTGAACAATTATCCATAATGCTATCTCACGTTATACTGTGACACAGTAAATAAAAAATCCAATGACCTCTAGAAAAGCGTTTAGCACTCTTTTCGAGAGGAGAGAATTGATTTCCTTTAAGTGCACATGCGAGCAACCGACAGTTTAATCACCTTATTGACAAGGGCCAGACAGGATGGTTGAACACCCGCACCACAGGGCTTTGATCCTGCGATTTGGGAGACGCACATACCGCGCAAACTTCAGCGATAAATTTTATTATATATATGAACTAAAAAACTGAGAGGCATTTAGTATTTCAATATTTCAGAAAGAAAATTCTTATTGAAGCTCTTTTCACATACCCTACAAAATTAGACCTGAGTCACCACAATGCAAATGTCTTCTTAAGCTGTCTTTACACACAGGAGTGCTGACGACAATTTTGGGAGTATTATGACATATTCGCCTTCCAGCTGTCATGTGTGCTGACGCATCTAAGACAAACCATGTATTCCCATATTCCCAAAATTTCCAGTACATTTGCACTCCCTTCGTTTGTTCTATGCCCCACAATTTCCATGTCATTCATTTCATATCTTCACAACACCCCTGTTCATTCTCCTGACTATTCATAAAGCCCTCTCTTTTGTGCGGTGGGATAGAATGAACATAGAGTGCAAAGTTAGCAAAATTCCTGCAACATCATTCATTTACGTACAACCCATTGTTGGTTTTGTATTAATTAACCAAGAAGTTTGGTACAAAAAACCGGCCATTTTACTACTGCTAGGTATTGACAGATATAGAAGGTTCGTTCCTGATGGGTAGCAAAAATAAAAAAGGTGAGATGAAATAAAAACAGCTGTAGTTACTTCTCTTCTATCAATTGGTTATGCAATATTAATTAGTGCAAAAATTTTTTTGCTTAAACGAACAGGGTTCTTGGTAGAAATACATGCGAATTTGAACAAAATGAATAAAAAACCAAGGGTTAACGTTAGAAGAACAATGAATACAATTAAAATTATGTAATGTTAAAAAACATACTTAAAAAGGCTGAGATTGCTGTTTTCTCTACTTGGGTCGATAGGGGTATACTGGGATCGGGTAACGCGATCAATATCTGGATAATCAACCTGACTCAAAACAATAGATTCGGGCGGAGGTTCTAAACTCGGTCTTGAAACAGGGAGATCTACATATTAGAAATAACTCTAAGATTAGGTAAAAAGATAAATATTAAAAATTAGCGATATGTAAAAAATAAAACTAGGTACAAGGTAGTGACCGTTAACTGTACCAAAAGCGCAGAAAAATGAAGAACCTAATTACCATATGGATATAAGACACTGTGGGATAGATTAGAACCGGAGACAATGACTCCCGAAGAAGAATTCAAAGAAGATATATTATCGGCAGATGAAAATTCCGGCATTGCGAGAGATAGCCGACTTGGAACTTGCATTCGGTTACTGATGTCTGTTGCATAGTCCAAATCTATCATATTTCTGTTAAAATGTGTATCCATATATACAGAATAAGCTATTTACTGCATAAATTGTTGAAGGATTTGCACTTCTGGGTCGTTTGGGGCAGCTGAATAACGATTGGATTAGAACGAAAAACATTACTTTTAAGCCCGTTTTCATCTAACAGTATTTTAGATAATTACTGCGCTACCTGATTCATTTATGATTCGCTTTCACAAAAATGAAAGCATTATTTACTACTTACATTTGTTAATTAATCATACGCGATAATCCGTTTGATCCCTGGAGAGAAACATGCTCTTAGCATATTTTATATTGTTATTTTGCACACTAATTGCGCATAAATGAAAATTATGCTTAAGTGCCTTTTAGGTGCTAAATATGTAAAATAACTTCATTAAAAGCATTTCTAACACATCTCATGGCGCTGATCAAGATTATTGAATATATAGTTTCGTACACATAATATTTAACAGGAACATGAAAGATATTTCGAATTAAGTGTGGAGTAGTAAAATGGCCTAGTTTCACTACCCGTTTGTTGCCTACTGATAAGGCTAGATATTTCTTGAATGTTAAGTCTTAATTGAACATTGTTGTATGTTTTAAGGTGATATTTTTCGTGTTTATGCCATTTTCCGAATGACATAACTCTTCAGTTAACGTTTTCTGTCTTACTTTTTAATTGTAATTGTACAGTTCAGTGTAAATTTCACGATTGACAGCAAGAATTCGTGGTTCTTCCTTTACAAAAAAATTAATCGTTCACAGGGCAAAGCAAGAAAGCTTAGCTACTATCGAAACTTAGGATTGTTAGACCCTGGATGGGAGATATACTGGGTAACAATATAAAATCAATGAGATTGTGACTTATACTAAGGATGCGTCACTATAAGTTGTCGTTTCAGTGCTTTGAATTAGTCTCTAGCCATAAATATATGTGCATATATATATATATATATATATATATATATATATATGAGCATTAAAGGCCACAAAACTATCTAATTGGAAATTATATCCCTGTTCATATCTTTCTTGGTATGACAAGGAAATTATGGGCTCCGAAGATCAATACATCGTCTATGACGATGAAGCCACAATTGAGACTATCTCCGAAGGAAGAGGTGGAATTTGTGTTGAAGAGGAGGAAGAAGTTTACTCCGAGGAACAATTGAAATCAAGAGGATGAGTGTTGAAAAACTGGATTATGGAATAGAGCCTGAGAAGATGAGTTTGAGAGAGTCCACACAGCCTCAGTTCCTTCTCAAGTATTCGTGTGAGTCAGATGAAAAAGATGAGCTCACCACCAATTCTCCAGACCTTACTATTGTCGATGCTGAAGGTATGAAGTTTCGCTTCGTATTTAATTCTTTAAAATTAGGTCATAAACTAAAAGCTTTGATTGCAATTTCATGTGAATTGGCTTCGTATTTTTTCTCAACTAGTTGCCGCATCCGTCGCTTCACTGCAAACCACACGTCGTCAATGGTTCAAGGGTTTGCGGAGTCGCCTTCGGCGTTTTTTCCTGTGTTGCAATGCAATTGAAGAGGACTAGATTACCAAATTTCCTACTTAATTGACTTTTGTGATTAAACTACCAAAATATATTTGCGATGATTTTTCTCCTTACATGTTCACTTCTAAAACGTCAATGAGTTTGAAATGGCAATATATCTTATTTTATTTTCATTAGTATACTCTAACTACAGCTCATTTCCAAAGTAAATGGAAGTAAGTATAAGGTAGAATGGAAGGCGCTTGAAAGATGGGAAGAAGACCGTTGCCAGCTACAGGGTTTACTAATGGGAACCTCGAAGAAAGACCCCAATCCGGTCTATATGGTCTCCACTTAGACACGCCATTTGAACTGCATTTATCTTGGTAGGAGACTAAAGAGTACTACCTAACAGTCCTTGTCACATCGACACAAAAGGAGACCATTTTTGGCAACAGAATGCGTTGCGAAGTGATAGGAAGCAGGTCTCAAAGGTGTGTTTATCTCCAATCGATTTTCAATTCTTTCCGACTTATCAGTGGTAATGGGGTTTGTGATGATGGAGGTGATTTTGAATTTAGTATATTGGCAGTGATGGCAAAGAAAAATTGATAGCTCTTAATTAACACAAACCATTGGCTCAAGGCACCAATATTCACCACGCGAGACCCTGTATCATGATCATATCTTACCGATTACCAACAACAATAAGGTGCTCTACTCATTCACCTCTGCTCTCATCTCTCTTCTTCGTTTTTTTGAAACGGTTGTTTGCTTCTGTTAGTTTATACTACCTTCATCTGTTGCATTACTTCCCACAATTTTCAATAATCTCTATTCTTGTTACTATAACAGCATTTTGGTCCCTTCAAATACCTTTATGAAACTCTGTTGGAGTTGATCTTCGATGGCAATAATAATTGATTGGGTTCAATTGAGAAGGCTGAGAATCGTTGATGAAAAGTGTTTTGAAATTGAATTATTTGTGCACATGGAAAGGCTTGTGTATTCCATTCACTTCAATCTAAAGATAGCGAACAACCCTGGTGGTCATTGGAGCCCTCACAAGGCCGATCGATTGAGGATGCATGTTTGTGGAGGATTTAGGAAAGATGATTGGCACTGAGTTGCAAATGAATGCTCAGATTGGGTTTAAAGGAAGGAATTGTTTTGTTAATAACACTTTAAATGCTCTTTTTCTATAATTGCTATCTCTATTAGTTTTTCATTCATTTAAAAACAGGCGAGTCGGAATGTTCCTAATTCTTACAATTTATTTCTCAATCTATTTCTCCTTCGAAACTGTCACGCTAAAAATGTTATACAGATCTAATAAATAATAATTTTTGCAAGTGTTTTAAGGTTAGGATTTATTTACTATTGATATTAAATGACCATAACTGAAACAAATCATTCACTTACCATTGATTTGGACGTTAGTAGAGCCATTTTACGGTAAATTAGCATGAATTGATTACACTGAAAGAGACTGCGGAACACAATCAAATTAACCATCCGGAAAGACCCATAAGAGAATATCTTTGTTGGGGTCCAGAGTTAGTCATAGAACAAAAGCTAATTTCGCATGCATGTTAAAGTTTTTTTGCAATTGTACATATATAAACCCCTATCGATAAAGGAAATCAATGAAAGGAACATATTTATTTTCAAATGGCCGGCGTTAGCTAGTTATCATTAACTCTTTAGCTGACTTCGGGTTTCACTGAGAGGAGTAACATCAAAGTGAAGAGGGGGAACAGAAGAGTGATTCACAGACGTAAGATAAACAATACAAAAAAACAATACAGAAAAAGGTAAATACTTTGGAAGTGGTCGGATATGACAAACAGTGGGGTCATGATAGTTTGAAGTCGACTGCCGGTTAATAGACTTTTCTGCCATATGAGTATACGTTGCCCAGGATGCACCACGTGGAGATTAGTCTATCGCACGCCCCATGAAAGCAACATTACACACTGTCATTTCATGTCAAACAATTACACTTGCTATGATGGCAACTATGCTGTCTATTTTGATCATTAGGTTAATTACCGCTATTTATTAAATATTATGTCTGCATATTCACGTAACCCTGTTGTGCTTGGTGAGATATAATATAAGTAATCGTGGAGATGGATGAAAATGTCGAAGAATAAAAAAGGAAATAGCTTATAGGACCAATATTCTACATCTTGAATACGGCAATCAATTCTATTGTCATTTTCCAAACAGTTCAAAGGGTAACTAAGATAATTTGCAGAGACACACTATTTTTATATTTGGTGTTGTCTCGAAACTCTGGAAATGGGGAGAGTCCTGATGCCATAACCAAGATTTATCACCCACATTCATTCCTTATAGTGCGATAATTCGTGAAGCTTTGATGATGCTCATATCCATTTGGCAACTAGTCAATTATTCAGCCCATAAATAATCATGCCAAGTGCAAAAGCCTTACTGGGAAAGCCAGAAATCATTCTGGTTCATGATCACTTAGAGCTGCCTAGATCGTTCTTTTCTCCCGTCATTACTGAAGTCCCAGCTTCAATGTTTAATGAACTATTCAACTTTACTGGTAACTATATTCTGGAGAATAAATGCAAACAATATTATGACCCAACTAAAGTTCTGAAACTAAGTGACAGGTACTTTAAAAGGTAGAATTTTTTATTGTGAGATTTTATGAGTTGGTCATATCCTATGAATGCTCCTTTTGTCATATTCGTTTTAGTGGGACCAAGCTAAGGTAAAAAAGTATGTCAATTTACACGATTTATATGCAACTTAGAAAGTACTTTAACGTGTTCCTGTACTTTATTTCCATCAGTAAATTTAAAATAACTAGTTATTTTGTAGAACGGGCAACTATTTTCAGATTTCGTCTATTTGAAATCTCTAATGGACACTCCTCTTGATTGTCTTTGCAGTAGCGATATGGCAAAAAAGTACAGTGCTCTCATAGGTCCTTATCGTGCACTTTTCCTTTGTGATCGAACAGAGTTATTCACTTTTTTACCGAACATTTTTGTGTAGATTTAGCCATACATATTCGGACAAATGGAAATTCGATGATATATTGGCCAGTATCTTCTATTATTCTGGAATATATTCCCAGAGATTGAGTCTTCGTTGATGTCATTGTATCTAGAGATTTATCGGAGGGAAGTGCTCCGCTGGGATTTCTTCAACTTATGCCTCTCACCTAGAAGCAAAGATTCAGCATCATCTGTTGAACGAAGTTTGGAACGGCTTTTGATATAAATTATCTTCAGGCGAATAACGATAGCATTAAAAAATGATTGAAATATTCGAAAACAGATTGAAAAGCTGCGACTAAAAGTCCAAGTCTGCGACAAATCTACCCGAAGCCATATGTCATAGCTTGTCTCCTCATTATCGTTGAGGTAGCTGAGGTAGCGTTGGGAGAGGTTTAAAACTTGGGGCGCTGTGTTTTAGTTGGGACGAAATATGAGTAGTAATATGAAACATATTCAAGTACTGAAGGAACTGACAGATTTGTCCATATATCAAGAAACTCACATCACTTTTTACAACAGGGGTAAAATGGCTAACTTATTTCTAACTTAATTCAGATTTTGATGATGTTCGGAGAAACGCTATGAATTTCGATATAGGCAAACGGAATACCTTTCTTCCACCTAAAGGCGACAAAAATAATGGTAAATAAGGAAGAAAGATTTTCTATGCATATTTCGAGCACAGTTGTAGTCGCAATGATTTTTCACAGTGGTTAGTAGCTTGTATTATGAAATGTAATAAAGAGAAAGAGACTGCAGTTGTTGCATTCAGGAAGCACTTTACCTAGACATCGAGGATATGCCGATTAGACTTAAAACTCTATTTTGTAACATCTACATGTATTTATATATACATATGCAGGGTGATCCAAAAAATGCATGCACATTGAAGCAAATCGTAAACGTGGTGTTAAATTAGAATTTAATTCTTTCAAAAGCGTAAAAATATTTTACAAATATTAATTTATATCAAATGGCAGGCGTTTTAATAGTTATTATTAGCACTTTTACAAATATAACTTTATTGCTTTTTACGGCCTGTTCTCAAATTGTGGTTGTTGGTGATCTTCCTAAAATCTGCTTGTGAACGTTCTCAATAGTTCCATCAGCTTCAGTTTTACCTCTAGTTCAAAAGATGGTAAATCGCTCTTTAGGGTTTCTTTGAAATTCCTTCTCTATATTGTTTTTTTTTTCAGTTGAATTGCATTTTCTCACTTCCAGGGATATTTTAGAGTAAATTTTCTTTCTTTAAAGTTAAATTTTGCTTTCGTTTTTGTGTAAACATATAGAATCCTCAATAAGAAACGCAAACAGTTTGGGCATGCACTATTTGCAATTAGTTAATATGCAGCAAAATGTAATGGAATAAACGATAAACTGGCGTTTGTGAATATTTTTACATATTTGAAATAATGAGAAACACTATATTTAAGATAATTGTAACTGTGCATACAATTTGTTTAAGTATGTCACTATTCAAAGTCCCTACTAGAAATAAATAGTAATATGACAAGATAAGAAATGAATAAGCACAAGTCAGATCTGCGGTTTTATTGCTAAAAGACCTAATCTGGATAATAATTTCTTATTTGCACGATACCCTTAAAGCTTTAGCATGCGAAATTAGCATTTCAAGAATGTGCAACAGATCGCTACATTAGTAAAGCCTTAACTGACACGGAAATCTCTATGGCGAAATCTCCAATATCTGGCTAGACTCCCAGAACTAGTTAAGCAACAGCCAACCTATAAAAGAAACAGACGTATAGCGCGGAACAAATTTATTCGGGAAGTATACTGTAGATGAAACGTCACGCCGGAATATTAGTCATATTCAAAATGACGGATTCGCTTAAGCAAACAATGTCTTTCGATGGTCCATTGTTCGTGTGCATGTGTGAACACGCGTTAGGGATGATGTGCCTCACAAATGTGCTATAATTCACATTATCAGGACAAGCGTTTACAAATAAATTAAAATAAGAGTTAAGCTTTACTACTTCAACGACATGAAATTTAGTGTTTGATGGTCTATTCGGAAATTCAAGCTTCTGTACTCCAGTCTCATATTTCTGGATGAGATATCCCCACCTTATTCAGCAACCCCATATTTATGGTTTTAGTATTGTAAGCTAACCACATTAAGCGGTACTTTTTGAAATTATAATGAATACCTCTCAGCTGGATTTTGAAAAAAGAATGAGTCCATGTCGAGCAGAAGATGTTAACAATACTCGGAACGCCCACCTTGATTACTGAGAAAATGAAGACAGTTCGACTTGGCTGAATCGAATTTCTATCTACTGGTAAATAACTAAAAAGTAAAGTTCCCTTTCACTAATTTGATATTACTGCTTCAGAAGATCAAGCCATATGTAATAAACTCACATAATCACTCATTTGTGACATGTAAATATGCCGTCATAACAGTGAAATTGCGGCAATTTTCAGCGATTGGAAATTGGAAGTATTCAATTTCAATACTAAGTTAAGCTAATATTAATTGTAAATACTAAAATACGTGAAGAATCACTTTGTTGCTTATTTATATGGCACTGTACCTCAGTTAATGAGTAATTATATACTAATAATATATATAAAACTCAACGTAAAATGGTCTTTAAAATTTGATAAGATGCTTTCATAGTTAAAATAGTGAATTTAGTGGATTAAATAAATAATTATTTTAATTTAATTCAATTTCAGTGTTATAACCTGGTGCTGTTATTGCTAATTTACAAACTCTTCCTAGTAGCCAATTGAATTATTGACCTGATACGTGCAGAGGAATGGCCTTAGCAAAGCCTCCAGATTGTCTTAAAAAGTTTAATAGAATTTGTAAAGTAGCACAAGACAATGAAGAAGTCGACCCGATTATCACATACTATTGTAAATACCCGTTTCTCTTATTTCATTTAATAAGGTCGTCTGTTCGTGGTTAGTATGGGACTTAGAGAAGATTCTAAGAATAAAGATGCCCGTGAGTTTATAGGCAAGCTTTTGGATTACCTGGATGCTGAAAAGAAGGCGCATGCAGCAGATTCGATGTACACTGAAGAACAAGTTGGACTACAATATGTCGAAAACCAGGCGTTGGATTTATTTACCACTGCATTCAAGAGAGACGAGAGTGGAGATTTTAGCAAGTAAGCAGCTAACTCGTATAAGTAAATTGGAGATAATTTTTATAGTGCTACTATTAGTGGCTTTCTTAATGCCGCGACCTTACTTGAAGTTTTAACTCTGAATGGGGAGACCAATGATGAGGTAATTCGTCCCTTTAAGACTATTTTACCTATTTTTTTCTTTAGTTAACGAATGCCCGCAAGTACGCCAAATACAAAGTTGTGTATCTAATGAATTGCAAGAAGAATGGTATCCAGCCAGTTGCGGGTCCTTTAAAAGAAGGAGATGCATCTGTTGCACCAGGTAAAGTTGATCCTTTTTGAAACCCCAATTTTTAGACATCGCGGGTCTGCGTGAACAACCCTCACCACCGAAAGCAGATAGTCCAAAGTCCTCCCATGAGCCCTCTACACTACCCGATAAGCACACTGAACCTGCATCAAATTCTGGTTCAAGATCAGTAGGCGGGTTATCTACCGAATCTCACGAGAACGCAACCAAGGCAGTTAAATTCGCTCTTGGCTGTTTAGAGTACAAGGACAAGGATGGAGCTATTAAGTTTCTTCAGGACGCTCTCAAGCACTTAACAACGAACTAGAATTCACACTTCGTAAAAGCCTTTTCTTCAATTTGTTATATTAATTCTTTCCCATAATTTATTTTTTATGATTATTACGATAATTCGTTTTCGGAGTCAAAAATCGTGAACTTGTGCGTGTGCGTGACATTTGATCCCTTCGCGACGCCTGAAAGTTAAGAACATTGGCTATTGCTAATTTTGTCTGGGAAGTACCATCGAAGCAGGATGGAAGTATACAAGTAGTAAGTCCCCAAGACAAGAGAAAACTGGAAGGTATCTACTCAAATATTTGTATTATCTGCCTATACAATGAGCCTAGCCTGCAGTAGTAATTTCAGTAGAAACTTCATCTGAATTTTCCAAACTTGTATCTGCGTCTTCCACACGCTCGCAGGGGGCAATATTTCCAGCGAGAGAATTTTTCAGGAAAAAGTACAGCTGTCTAAAAATAGAGGAAGACGTAAAAGAAGCCACGAAGCAATAGTTGGAGTGTTAAAATTTGGACCTGGGTTGTGTTGTGTTATATGAACTGGAGGTGAATAGCATTCAGAGGAAGCAAAGTGGCTCTAGCCCCGAGAGCAAGACCACATTTGGCTGAGTATCTCCTTCTCGAAGCGAAGGGATAAAACATCCCCACCCCCGAGAATACTAAGAATTGTTTTGGACAGATATGCGCATCGGACAAACGTAATGGAATTGAAAAGGATAGCCAGTAATGAGAAGAAGTCTGATTGTGAGAAAAAGGCGAAGCTAAATACGCATGACTGTCAAATTTTGACCTCAGTGAGTGTGAGTGAGAGTGCGATGTATTCTTTCGTGGTGCTTCCCTCGACCTTTTTGAATTTTACTCCGTCCCTCCAAGAGAATGGAACTCGGCTAGAGTTTACCTTATTCTTCTCTGGTTCTTGTTAATACAGTGCACCATTCTTTAACATCTTTCATGGCGAGGATAATCTAACAGATTAACACCCAAGAATCCATACATATTTTGTCGGGCTAATCTTTAGCTATCTTCTCCTGTCTCTGCTTGAGAGAGTGAGATCTTTTCACTGACCTATAACTTAAGTAAGAATAATATGTGTAAGAATGCTCTCGAAGTTAAACTCATGTAAACTTTTAAAAATTACGCCCTCCTATTCACTGGAGGTAAATTGTACTCTTGCATTTACCGACAAATGGCACTGAAACTCCTGATATTGAGGAGGGATCATAACGGAAAATCTAAAACTTGATAACTTCGAGGGCGAACAAATGAATAAAATTCCCAAAAAAGGTGGAAATCTTGGTTTCAACAATGACGTCATAACGTGCGTTTATAATTTCCTCCTCGGGAAACATTCCACTGGAAACCGTATTCCATGTTAAATATGCTAGAAATGACCTTATGTTAACAATATATAAAAAAAAACTGGACGGTCAGAAGTAGGCCGATTCACTTACTGATTAGTCCCCGACTTTGAAAAGACCACTCGTTCACAATCGCCATTGGGAAGGCATAAATCGATATCAAGAGCAGCGCCACCACCAGCCGGACAAGGTGAGACAATTCGGGGATGAGTGGACACTTCCTTGCCGTTTAAACCCTCTTTTGTGAACCGTCGCCAGTCACCACGACTCACTACGAGGTAACTGAAGGTCTCTTCATTCGTGTAAGTTGGATCCTGAGTAGTGAAGTGAGGAGGTGAAAAAAATCAAATATTGATTAGGATACAAACAACTGTAAATGGGGTAGCGCGATCGATGGCCTCTCTCCCCCCTTCTCATCTACAAGTGCTGCTACTAGTCTCATTCACCGGTAAGACCAGAGCAATAAATCAAAGTTTGGCAGCGTGTCTCTTAATCTAATTAAACCGACTGAGCACACTACAACTTATTTTTTTCCCTCAGTATTTTGGAACACAAAACGACCTTTTTACGGTTTAAGCAAAGCAGGGGGTAGGGTGCTAGAAATAGGATTAGCTAGGGTCCGTAGGCTGTAAGATTTTTTCTCATAATTTGGGGCGAGATGAAATAATATCACAACATCTATTATTGACATTCGCATTCTTGGTAGACTTCATCTACAAGAGATATTGAGCAAATTCTCTGCTTACTTCGATTGCATAATTTAGAGCAGAGAGCAATACTAAAGGCGGAACACCGGAATAGACCATTATTTGAACAATGAATATCACAAAATTCACAACTTTGGTTTAAAAGGCCACACAACTTGAACAGTAGAATTTATGCCGTCTTTATTAATTAAAAGGCACCTTCATTGAGCCAAAATTACCATGGACGCAGGAACAAATAATTAGGGGCCGCTGATCATTGTTTGGCCCATATTGATCATATTACCATTTAATCCATATTATTTATTTATCGATTGCTATTCACTTTATTGGCACCTACGAATAGGTGTGGGTACAACACATCATATACTACCACAAAAGCCAAATTTGGTTAATGATGGAATGAAACTGGACAATGCGCGATGAATAACTTTCCATTTCTAGAATATTGAAGAATGCGGGCGCCGAGAGTCGCTATAGCAAAATTGATGGCATCATTAACATCATTTCTAGCTTTGACAATTCCCATATTCAAGAAAACATGCTTGAATACAAAAGAACTAGTTGAAAGTAAGCGTCCAGAAACGCGAAAGACAAATTGTGGAATCCGAAAGGAGGATTTCGAAGTTAACGATTCACGGGGTTACCCAAAGTTAAAATCCGCATAGCACTTCTACTCACCAAATCAAAGAGCATTCAATATTAAAAAAAGACTACGTAACTTTCCGCCTTTAATTAAAATGACATATAACTCACTTTTGTAAGTCCGAATTGATAGTACTTCACAGCGGATTTGCAACCAAGACCGGCTCTGCCACAAGAAAAGCTATGAGGACACTAGGCGTGAGAGGGAGAGCGAGATAAAGAATGTAAAAGGAGGAAAAACCTTTGCGCATCGACTATTAGCGACCAAGTAGAGATCAACTTACAGGAGCAAAAATGTGCATTTCATCACCACCATTTCGAATCTAAAAACAAACATCGTAATGTAAAAAAAAAATTTGTAAAATAGTTTTGTAACATTTGTTCATCGAAAATTCACATTTAATAATTAATAATAGAGCAGCGGTGGAGGTAAGATATACATTAAAAAGGACCTAACAGTCTTACTTAAGCGATTTCTCTGGCTCCAGGATCTGTGGAATGCTTGGGGTGTGTGATAGACTTACCCCCACGTGGTGCACCCATGCCAACGTATACTCATACGACAAAAGTCAATTACCTGGCAGTTGACTTCTGACTCCAAACTGCCATGACCCCACTGTAGGTTATATGCGACTGCTTCCACAGTACTAACCTCACCCTTTTTCCACCTTATCTACCTTCGTCTTTGAAACACTCTTCTGTTCCCTCCCCCCCCCCCCCCCTTTTNTTCCCCCCCCCCCCCCCCCACTTTTGAATTTTTTTACACTGAAGTCAACTAAAGGGCTAATGATAACCGTCAAAACGCCTACCATTTGATAAGGAAAAACGCCAGTGAAACTGGGTGGAACCTATTGAGACACAATATGAGTGGAATTATCTCGGGTTCTTGGGCAAATTCACTAGCAAGCAATAAAAAATCTAATAAATTGACAATTATGGTGTTTATCTTGGTTTCTTACAACATTAGACTGCCAAACGGCTAGCCTATAATGTAACTAATTGAAGAATTCCTGATTGTCTGCTATATTTTGTCACTTAAAAATTCCTTGTATCATGATCTAAAGTTAAGAAAACATCGGAAACTAATCCACAAGAGTGATAATTCATGACAGCAGAATGTAGAATCGAGTAAATCGGTTAGGTAAATTGAAAGTTCCGAAAGAAAAATATAGTGTTCTATTTATACAGATTTACTAAATAGGACTTTTTTTCGTGAACCAATCAAGATGCCCACGAAATATTTTAAAGATGCCAATTTCTGACTCAAAACTGACCCCCGCTCACAAGTTCACAAGAAAAGAACATTTTCACCATTCTTCAGGCGCAAAGATAAATAACTACAGTATGTACAAAAATTGCGATTGCTTTGAATATTATGAAGGAATATAACCAAATGTGACCACCACAGACTCCAAATACCCCACGCATCACGTGATTTTACGCTCTTTAAGTTTCATATGATGACAAAGCTAATTTCAATTGAGGGGCTAATATTAACCGGTTAATATGGAAATATTACCATAAGTCACCTCTGGCCTTGAAGAAATCCCTATTGATTTAAATTTCATAGAGCGTTCATAGAGCCTTATTTTAAGTTGCATGAATTGAAGTAAACTAGAATAAGTTTTTTTTTCGCCAGCAAACGAAAACTTGTCTTCGTTCTTGGTGGAAAGGGTGTTGGCTCCTAGATTGCAAAATAGCCACCATTGCTTATGAAAAGTTGTAAGTAAGCCAAACTAGAAACATCGACAAGCAGTAAGGCCCCATGAGAAACATGATAAAGTGCAAATACTCTGAAGGAGCCTCAACATTGGACTGAGGAAAGGTTTGCTTGCACGCAGAACTTTAGATTTCTACCAACAAATTAGGCGTCAATAACGCGATCGCAACTATTTAAAAAAAACAATGCTTGATTCATCAAATATTCCCAGTAAATCAGGAAATTACAATAAGTAGAAAAATTAAAAACACGTGATTAGAAAAGCTCGTTATGAAATAAGGTGGGGGGAATTAAAGATATCAGGAATGAACAAATTGATGAAGGTAGCTCATAATTCTTGCAAGTATTGAGGACTACAACCAAAAGACCAGGAAGTTTTAATTAGATGTTTATGAAAACAGGAAAGAAACAGCCCTTATGGCTGCACAATCGTTTGAGTGATAAGTGAAGCGTATACCAAAATTGCTTCCAGTTAGACCTTAATTTGAAGTTGCTAAAAATCATAACTCCAAGCCAATTAAATTATCTAAGTGATCAGATTAAAAACTATTTGGTGATTAAAGCAACGGCTCCTGAGGCATCCCAATCATACCAATTTGAACAGAGAACATAGGAGAGGAAAGAAGAGAGCCCTGTCAGCTAAAAATTTCCGCCTGTTTCCGAAGCGGTAAACCCGACACCAGATAAACGCAAGGCTGAAATGAAGACCATGATGACGTAACCACCCATTGTTTCAAATTGCAAAACTTCTGATGCAAGCTTAATTATGATTTTACAGGAATTAGATCCAGTGTGTGAAAAAATTACTAAAGAACAAATAAAACAGCTCAAAACGCTGTTAAAGAAAATCCATTGTCTTGAAAACGAAGATCAAGCAAAAAAGAAGCTCCCCACGCATACTAAAGACACTGGAGTTAGTGCCAAAATGACTGGAAGAACCAAGTTATAATAGATTATATCGAAAATTCACAGAGAAACTTGAACTTACCAGCCAATCTCTAGCTTCCAGTAGCGCAGCATGTCCTGCCTTAGTGCCCTCTTCAATAAGAACCAGAAATCCATTTGTGCGAGACCACAGACTCTCAATAACACGCCTACGATCGTGTTCTCCTGCCATCTCTAGCAGTGCATAACCGCTCATAACCAAGTCGCCAGTTACCTACAATTAGGTGTGTGAAAGTTGGTACACATTAGATGTACTACTAAAACCAATAAGTAGTGACGAACAATTAGGTTAAGCATGTTATTTTGTAATAGAAATAACTTGAATCATAAATACACAAAAAGCAATATTGTTTAATTAATTTTCGTGATTTCGAAAACTTGGAACTTTACTAAAATGTCGGACTTTATACCACTTCAAAAGATTGTCAATTAGCGAAGCTGCAATTACCGGGGTTTTCCGGTATCTTCAAAAATGTCTGGGCTTAGTGTAGCCCGACAAAATAAATTCTATTTTGCACTTCTTACTCATCAGATGTTCATCATTGAACTAAAAGTTTGACTCCCACCCCCGCACCGTCCTGTCTATTCAATAAACGTAGATTTATAAATAAGATTATGGCACGATTCGAGGCGCCCACTGCTTCTACGATACCTTTGGTACTAAGCTATAAGGCATGAAATCTGGGACGACTTAACACCTAAAAATGCCATAAAATTAAAATGTAAGTCCAATGGTAGCACAGAGTCGAATGACCCAAGAGTAAGCGAGGTTTCCGGCTCGCGTACTTTTCAACGACACAACACAAAGGGTAGGGTTCGTAGGATATACTTTGCATTATAAGAAATCACCGTATCTATGGTGTATGATATTGCCATACAGTATTCCATTCGTCACCATACATAAAACCGGCTCTCTCAGCTCAGACTCCTACAAATTAAATAGGGAGATTCTCCGAAACCAGATTCTAAGATCAACACATTAACATATCTGGTGACTCGAGTCCTATCCCATCAAAAGGCACTGTTATATTTATAAATAAATAACAAACCACCAGAATTAAATATACATATTAAAGAGGGAGCACAAATCAAGATATTCCTCAAAACTAGTATTAATGAAACTCCACTTCGAGTGAATCCCAGAGGGCGCTGTTGTTCCCAGTTCCATCTACCTATTTGAGGCTGTAAATCAATAAGTGAATCAAGGCAACTGGGTCTAATGTCTTGAAGTCACCGCATGAATTGCCTTGACCGATTTCAAGCAATTTTGATTCTCAATGATTACAAATCGTAAGATACTTCGTCTTTGCCATGGGCTTTGCTATGTTGCTGGTTTCGACTGACACTTCTTGGCTGTAAGGAAATATAGATTAAATCCAGGCAGTCAACAGAGAAGTAATTTAAATCAAGCCGTTTTTTGACCCGGAGTACTATAGAAATAACCGAATCATGAACACAAACATAATGCAAGAAATTTCTTTACGACTCAAAACTCAATACTTCCAAAATTCAGAAAAAGTAAAACTCTTGACATTCAACAGTCTTTATAGCTCAACCCCCCCCCCCCCCTGCCACCTTCGTTTCACATCTATTAGGTTTCTTTTGTCCCCATTTAGGATGTTTTCGAAGTTCCCAAGTTTTGGTGCATCATCATGGCAAAAAATAAATCAGTAGAACCATTTAAGTAGAAGAGATTGTAGCAAGTAGACTTACATCAACAGAAGGAATAAACCGTCGATGTCGCACACCAGGGAATATGTAGGTATTGGGTGGGATACCCTGGCCTCGTTTGGACAGGAGGAATTCCGAGAGCACAGTCATTGGCCCAGAAGCTTCGACAAGATGATGCTCACGAATGCAGCCTGCTGGCCAAATTGTGTTGGCTGCCCTTTAAGAAATGGTAAATATTAAATTCATTCAACCAACGACGCAGGTTCCATTGAAACAAATTTGAGCATTTGATACATTAAAACGATAAAAAGCTGGTATTGAGCATAGAAAAACCGGAGATACAGACAAGCTAAATGTTTCGATCTCGCGCAATTTAAATTCCTGCAAAAGTGCATAACATTTAGACACCTAAATTGCTTACAAAAAACAGATGGGATCTAGATTTGTACTCTCATGATGCAAATTGTAAAACGTAGACCATTATTGAGTGGTATCCAATATGTTAACAAAATAAATTCTAGCCACTACGACGTACTAAGACTCACGAGTAGTACGATGCAAATTGTCAAATAGCAATGAACTCACCAAGTATAAGTTCCGAGACCAGAAGCAAAATCAAAAAGTGAAGTTGGAACAAATAGCGGTGCACGTTTCCTAATCTCATAAAGTATCCTGCACGCAACTGCAAAGTTCGGTGCCAAACGTCCAACCAGATATAGAAGACTGTTGCTTTCATTATAGCTGAAAAAGGCAGTTACATTGCGTAATTACGTAACAACAGTCCTGGATGACTAATGACAACACAGAGTGAGAACAAAATACGTACTTGATAGACTTCCAAGTAGATAGGCATTGGGCTCTGATCTCCCTTTCACTTCTGGCAGAGCCAATAAATGGATTCTCGACGTGATATTGTAGAGCAGCTTCTGTTCCTTCGTCAACTTCAGTAATTGAGTGTTCAAACTTCTTTGTTTCTGCATCACGATGTTTCGCTAACTTTTCAATGATTTCTTTCTAAAGAAAATGCATAGTAAGAACAAAAGCGATATAATGAAACTATCTCACATAAAGAGACCAAACAGAAAACTTAACATTTCTTAAAATCTTTATCTAATCAATGCTAAATTTTCCATACAGAGAGTTCCACAAGTATAAAGTTAAATATTTATTTGAAAAAATGATAATCATACTTCTGTCAGGAGTTCTCTCTCATGAAGATGATTGATCAAGCGAGTCGATAACTGTTTTAGGTGTTTGATAGAGAAAGTATTGTACTCCCGGAGACAATCGGTTGCTGCTAAGTCAAGCGAATCGGGAAGAGTTAAGGCTGGGAGTTGAAGGTAATATTTATGTTTTCGAAGAGCATGTCTGGATGGGATCTCTGAGCCGTTCACATTGGAGCTTCCTTGAAGTATCTGCTGAGGGAAATCTGAGGCTACAATGTATTTCTGAGTTCCAGATACGGTTTTCTGAAAATATTTGGTTAGGGAGGAGGTGGCGGCTTTCATTAGCTTGGAGTGTAAAAAATTTTGTTAACAGATGATTAGTTAAAGCCAACATCCATAAGATGAAACATGGACAGTAAAGTTGTGGAAAATACGAACAATTTTAAAGACAGCAATAGTAAGAAAGACATTTAAAAACTTTAGGTACTATAAAAGTAGTTCATACTTGAAAGAAAAATTAGAAAGCAGTAATTAATGTAGAATTAGGTCCATAGCAGAAGTGATTAATTTGGAAAATCACCGTTTACATATATGCGGAAGACTTAATTCGTGGGAATGAAATCCGATAAAATTTAAGTTAAAATTTTCATAAAACGCCTAAATGTATTTATGTGGACTAATAGGAAATCGATGTGGAAAAAAGAACACGAATTCCAAAAACTGATATTTTTATGCTTAGATAGAATAACTAGAAAGGTCAAATTTAAAGTAAAGCAAAATGAGAAATGCATACATAGGGGATTATCAAAATTTCGCAGGGGCACGAGAAGCAAGCCAGACAGAACACATATGGATAGGGCACAAATAAATATCGGTCATTGATGTTATTAAGAAAGTAAAATGACAAAATAGTGCTTTTTATTTTTAATTCCATTTTGGTTTTATTTTAAGACTTTGTATAAAAAATATTATTTTAAATATAACACGAAAATATAAATGTTCACATTATTTATATTGAAATTTATTAAATTTTGATATCTTTATATTCTAGGACGAAGTCATTGTTTTGATGGATAGCGACAACTGTCGACATATCAAGCTGCATAGGCTAATCCATTTTGTTAATTTTGAATAGAGTAAGAAAATGAATCGATTAGTAGACCTTGACAAACTTCTTAATGATTTCCAAGAACAAGAAGCAGGTTTGCAAATTTCAGATTGTCGTTAATCGTTTGATTTTACTACTGTTATTATAAATTTGGGTTTTGGTTTTATTGACCTTTTATGTTGCTTTTTTTAGTATCAAAGTCATGTGCTAAAAAATATAATTTTATCGGAAATAAGTCTGATGACGGGTATGCTTGTCTTATTGGAATTAATCCCACTGTTTCGAAGCCCTTTTGCCATTCCGAGGTCCATCATTCACCTCGTATAAAGGAAATTACTTATCTTGATAAATCGTCCATGGACAACTGTACCTTTCCTGAATCTCAGAAATTGAATTGTCCTGCTAAAAATCTTGATTCCCCACAGCAACCCGCCTTTTCCTCTACTCTCACTGTGCATGGCAGAGATGAGAATCAAATAAATTCGGAAGCACAATCTTTTCTTAAACCTCACCACAGTGTAAAGCCTCTTTCTCAGCTTACTCCTGTTGATCGATCTGCTCAGGATTTAATGAATTATTCCTCTACTTCGGAAGCCAAATCAGATGTCTCATGTACAATTCCACCTTTTCAAGACACAAGCGTGCATTCGCCTAAATCGTTGCCACGTTCTACCGAACCTGAGCAGATTGGCCATGTTGGGGAAGTTGGATTCTCTTCTCGTGAAGTTTTCCCACTTCGGAATCCGACAGATCTCAATGAAGGTTATTTTTTTCTCTTGACTTTAATTTTATTTTCCTATAATTTAATCCAAACTAACCCTTAGATTTTTTCTAATTTTCTTCCTATCATTTCATTACGTCTTCCTAATTTGCCCACTTTAGTTGCTCATAAAGTGAAGAAACTGAAAAAAATAATAGCAAGAAAGTCATCTTTCATGGATATATTTTCCATTCCGTTTTCTGCAGTGAATACATCTTTAATACTATTTTGCTCGAATTATTCCTTTATAAATTCTGAATGGATGAGCGTATTTTCTTTGTTCTGTTCGCCTGAACCCATGACACTTAAAAAGCGCTTTCGCCAAAAATTAAATTTCAATTTTCCAGCGTAATAAGTTAGAAAATCTTACTGGTTTAATCCAAAATTCCATGAAATAATTATTAATTCAATTGCTTAGTGTTTGCACCATTTATTTTCCTCAAATTACTTGAGAAAAAATTCATTTGCCTAATTGGTTTACCACTAGTGGCTTCATGTCTTTGTTTGAATATTTGCGTTAGTTTGGTTTGATTTCACTTGCACGCGTTTACTTTTACTTCTCCAGTTCCTAGTGAAGTAATGCTAAGTTTCTCCCAACTTCGTAATTAGGTATCAAGCCCCTTGCATTCTGCCTTTTGCTTTTTTTCCTATCACTTTATTATAGCATTTATTATTATCAAATGTCATTTTGCAGTGTAAATTGTGTTATTAATTAATAATAGCAATGCCAATAATTAATTTGTGCATTTATTGATTTAATTATAAATGACCTTATTTCCTAGCGGTCTGTCTATTTTGTCTTAGTAGCATTGGCGCTGCAATGAATATGACTGTTGCTTTGCTTAGTTATTGTCTTTCTGTGCAATTTGTTATTTTTGTGCTTAAAATTTTAATCCCAATAGGTTATTTCTCTTTTACTATTACCTATTTTATTCAATCTACTTTTACTTCTACAATTATGGAACAAAGTTCTTCAAGCACATCCATTAATTCGATTCTAGCTTGGTAAGACCAAGGCCACGTTTCGCGCAGTCGCTTGGACAAACTTTAATCTCATTTTTTTGGTTATTTTGAGTTATTAAAACAACTATTTAAAGGTGTATGGGATAATTGCATCGATTACTAGAGTTGATCATTATAATCTAATCATGATCATGCTATAGCATTTTGTTTTTTTCTCACCTAAGGTTTACAGATTACCTTCCTTTTGTTTATATTAGGTGTGAAGGAAAGGCCGCAATTTTCGGCTTTCTTTCCTTGGCATCATATTAGCTTTACTAATTATTCCATTTTAAATTACGGCAAATCAGTATCCCTTTTACTAATACCCTCAAACTTAACATATCCTATGCTTAGTAGTCACTGCCTTTCAACGGTTATTCAGGTTAAGATATCCTCTTCAGCGTAGTAAGCTACTTAAGCATACAATCAGTATTACCTAATGAAGTCATAGTTTGCCTAGTTTTACAGAGGTGGACATGTAAATCTCGGAGTTGTGTAGAATTTTGGATCATAGTGCCTTCCTGTTGAGGGACTCAAATCTTACCACCATCTGTAGCATAGATAGACTTAACCAACACGACAACCAATCTGATTTATGGTTTCTTATCGATGGGTATAGTAGTAGTGATTTCTGACTTTATAGATGTTTACAATGCCACCTACTCATAATCAATGATACAAATAATCACTCAATACCGTAACCTTAGAATAGTGATGGAGTGCTTAAGTCGAAGTGCTTACTTATTTTACTAAGTTCATCATACTGGCTGCAACAGATTTAAGTATAGTTAGAGCTCTATCCACTTTCCACGGAATGGATAAATTCTGCTAAAGTAGCACTCATCTCACCTTTTCTTCTCTTTACCACAAACAGGCGCTAAGCCACACTTGGGTGCAGGAGGCTTAAGTCATAGGAATTTTTTTGCCAGCATTTGAACACGAAAATTGTTAGTTACAAAGTTGGAATCCTTGGACTATTGCAGGTAAATGCTCTATTGAAATGAAGGTGGAAGTGGTGAAACTTCTGTTTCTTCAAAATCATACAATTTCATATGTTGGTTTCTTTTGCAGTTAGATAACTCAGATGGGAATCACTAATTAGTTGGCCATGAAGGTGCAAACGAATTCCAAACTCCGTTCATGTGAGTCAGTGCGAATGTTCCCAATTGTTATGAACACGATTCTCCAATTGAATTTAATCACGAAAATGTTAAGGCCGAAGAGGACGAATGTGCAATTTGAGTTTCAGAAATAACCACATTTTTTCATGCAGCACGTTTTAAATAGTCTACTTTCTTACTTATTTGACAGCTACAACGTTAAAAGCTGTGCATCTCTATGCACAATTTTTTTTGCTTAACACGAAGAATGACTGTTCGTTTGAATAGTTCAAATAGACTCAGTGATTTCCCGACTAATTTTTATATCAAATGTCAGGCTTTATGTTAGTTGCAATTAGCCATTTAGTTGACTTAGGGCTTCACAGAGGGGAGGTGGGGGAGAATCAACGTCACAAAAAGTTGAAGGGGGGGGGGAACTGAAGGGGGATTCAAAGAAGTAAAAGGTAAGGCAAGGTGAGTACTGTTTACATGGTGGGATATGAGATACAGTGGGGCCATGGTAGTTTGAAGTTAGAAGTCAACTGCCAGTTTATAGGCGTTTTTTCCTTATGAATATGTGGCGCCCAGGGTATACCACGTGGAGGTAAATCTGTCGCGCACTTTCCAAATAATATGTAGTTTCTGAGACAGTGGGGGGGGGGGGGGGGGGAGAGGGCAATGAGAAGAGTCCTATCTCATCCTATTTCTGGAAGTTGTTGCATAAGGCAGTGTCCCAATGTTCGGTCGTCACCTTTCTAACTTTCAGGTCTTATTTTAGGATGATATTGTCACCTTCCTGTTAGTTGTTTGTTCATTGTGATTGCTTACACCACCTCGATTTATTTACACATTTCACTAGCAAATAGCTTTGCTTCTTAATTTTATCTGTGATAGCGGTCTTTTAGTGACATTTTTCCCCACTGCCTTTTTTCTGTTAATTAAATTGCTGATTGGAGTTAAGGTGTAATGGTTATCATAGGTAGCTTATCTACCTGCTCCATGGTGTGGATGAGGGTGTAGTATTTTAATTAGACTCGCAGGGTGCCTCGT